ATTTTTTTATTTAATATTAAGATAAAATACAAAGTTAAAAAAATTCCAAAAATATATGACTCATACTGTATATATTTGTATTGTATTATTGTTTATCTGAACAGATTAATAAACACATCAATAACAGTTTGATTAGAAGTAAAAAAAAATAAATAAATGTAATATTACGTATATATATATATATATATATTTTAATTTACTAGTTGGTAAAATATTGAGATTTTTTTAATATACGGATAATTAATTTGAAGATAAAAATTTTGAATCCTATAATTGTATATTCAGCATTTCATGTATTGTATATTTATTTAAACAAGTCAATAAAAATATTTACATTATATTAATAAATAAGAAATATATAATAATACAAAATTAAAATTTAAAAATCAAAATAAATTACAAATGAAAATGTACATATCAAAAATATAGAAGAGAACAGCAAATAATCGGTTTATTTTTTTTTTTTTTAAAAAATTTTACAAGCATAACTTTATAACATAAAAAACTCTTTAGCAATAAATGTGATTCAAGAGATGAAGCAATTTTCGAACAAGAATTTCCGAATCTTGCTTTCACCGTTAGAATTGATCATTAAAAAAATATTTGTCTTATATCTGTCTTACTGAATTGTTGTCCGCATTTTGCGCATTTACGATTTCGACTTTCGAACTGTCTATCCAAGCACTGTTTGCAAAACGCATGCATACAGATAAATACGCAATGATCTTTAAATCTAGTAGTGCACGTCGAACACTTCCATTTGGTCTATTAAACAAAAGTTGTAAAAAAGAAAAAAGGAAAAAAACCAAAACCAAAAAGATCTTTCGGTTACATAAATTACCTCATATGCTTCAAGCAATTTCTGTGCATCAGATGACAGTGCAGATGATCGAAGCTCTTCAACTTCCTTGGTTGCTACCTCCAGTTGTTCCTTCATTTGCCTCATTTTCTTCTCAGCTACTCTTTTCTCTTCATCACGTCGCCGTAATTCTTGACTGTATTCCTTAACATTTGCATCTCTCTTTAATTAAAAAGTTAATTTTAATAAGTAGTTCACAGCATAAAATAAATTGGCGATTCAGGTTAAACCTAGATAATAAGATAGTTAAATTAACACTAACGTCGTTACGCAGCATCTCAGAGATCTTTTGTTCTACTTTGATTTCATTATCGATATACACTAATTTTTGCTTAATCATAACCAGCGATTGGAGAGCACTTGCAGAATCTTTACTATATTTTTCCTTTAGTCAAAATCATCAAAGTTAAATTTGACGAAAGAAAAAAAGAAAAAAAAAAAGATCAGAGACATATACCAGTTGTGATTTGGTTGAATTTAATTCGTTTTTTTGTGTACCAAGTTGCTCATGTTGTTGTGATACAACAATATTCATAGAGCTTATTTCGTTTTGAATCTTTAAATTTTCCTCGGTTTTCTCAGCAAGTTTCTGCTGAAACTTAATAAGCTAATAAACAAAGATGATAATGTTAGCTTGAAATAAAAATGTTGAAATTGAAAAGGATTACCGATTGTTTTAACGGTTCGATCCTTTGATCTTGCGTATCGAAAACGGAAACATGCGTATCATCATCTCTTCTTTTCTGCTGCGAAAACAACATTTCGATCTCAGAAGACTGTGCTTTTTCGTACTGCAATTTATAGACAAGTTATTTTTTTGAAATATTAAAGGCCACAAGTGAAATTTTTTAATAAAAAAAGTAAATACTTGTCTATAAATGTCATTCATAAATTCAAGTTCCCGTATTCGATCGTTTAACTCTTTAATATACTCCGGTTTGCATGAATCCCCACTAAGAATTGTAATGATAAAGATATAATACATTCTTTGTTTAGAACATGTACACTGATGAAAAAAATTTCGAAATAAATACATTTGTTCAATCTTCATTTGGTTCTCGGTAGAAATGGTTTCAAATTTTTTGGTTAGGTCATTTTCTTGAGATTCTCGAGCAGATGATTCACCAAAGGAAGGAAGGCTCTTGCGACTTTTATTACTTTCAATTTCTGCAATTCTGGTATATAACTTACGCACCTCCTCTTTTAAATTATGAATAATTTCCATTCTATCATTGGCAAGCATTCTATACATGCATTATCTCTGTTAATATATTAGTAATTAATTTAGTAATGAAACGTCTATGTCGAGAGTTACCTGATTGACGAAATTTTCTGGAACTCTTGAGGTATCATGGTTCGAAGAGATTCTACCTCCTTAACTAATTCATTCCTCTTTGAACGAATGCGCTCTAGATCATTATGATACTCCTTTTTTACTTCCTGGAATTCTTGATCCATTCGTTTCATTTCCGACTTTATTTATTGTTTGAAATAACAAAATCAATATATTATTATCTAAAGATCAAAAGTAATGTGCACGCACCTTTGTCAAATCATCAACTTTATCCCTTGACACTGTCAATGTTTGAGCCTCTCTGGTTTTTATTTCAAAGAGAGCGTATAAATGTGCATACGAATCATTAAGAGCATCAAGTTCGAGCTGAAGAATCTTGAACAATTCTGATTCTCTAATGCGTTCCTCGGGAAGACACCTTATCTGTATTTTTTTAATAAAAATAATCGAATTTGTTACTCACATGGTAACAAAATAAATAAATAATAATAATAAAGAGCACAAATTGACCTTTTCCTGAAGATCTTGGATCTTTCTTCTCAATTCTGCTTTTTCGGCCTGAGTATCATTTAATTCTTTTACCCGAGATTCAGCTATCGTTCTTAATTCTATCAGTTCCAATTTTTCTGACATTGATTTGTTCACAGAATTACCCTTTAATATGTCGATAGATGCAGTAAATTATGACATTAATATGAAATCAATTTAAATGTCTTTTTTATTTGAGTTAATGCCTACCGATTTACTATCAGCTTTCCTCCCAAGGTGTAAAAATGGATTTATCACAAAAATATTCGATCGGTCTACGCTTTTTTCCAACTGTTCTAGTTTATCCTGAGTACTTTCAAGATTCCGAGAAGTCAGTTCAAGACTGGCTCTGGTGATTTCTAATTCACGTATAAGAGAATGAACCTTGTAATCAATGAAAAAATTATGTTCAATAAAAGTAATCATGAAAAAAAAATGACTACTTCGATACATATTTGTAATTTGACAAGTTTTTTTACCTCGGATAATCTATTTTCGTATGAACCAATCTTTTCTACTATATCCGAATACATGCTATTAAATTTTTCTATCTCCTTATAGTATTCTTCGGCCAGGCGGGATGCGTTATCATCATGATCATAATTTTTCATCTCCTTCAAAAATTCATCCCGTCCGCGGAACCAATTGGTCATTTTTTCAACAATTGCTGCGACAATTCGTCGCGTGTACTCTAGAGATTCATTTTCATGTAAGCTATCATTCGTCCGATTCAAATAGGGTCCATTAAAATGAACTATTATTTGGAATAATTATTAATATAAAGATATGTGATGATAATAGAAAGTAGTATCAGGTAAATTACCATCCGTGGAACTTATTCCATTCAGATGAACCTCGTCATAAAACCGAATTAGAAACTTTCGCAAATACTCCAAGAGCTAAAACAAAGTATATTGTAATTAAACTAATGTCACATATTAAAGTATTATTTAATAAATAAATTCAGTCTTGAAAGATGTTTCGCTATCATACGTACTTGATATACTATTATTAACTTTTTTCTATACCCTTCGTCTTTCCCAAGCAGATCTTGATTTAAATCCAAAGCTTCTACCGCTTGACATTTGTATTTCCTCATTGCGCTGACTAACGCGTCCTTTTGATATTTCTAAACCATCAAAAGTAAGTACATATGTATTCGGGAATCTTGGAATTACTAAAATTTCATTCTAGAGATCGGGGCAGCAGAGAGATAGATATCTAACCTCGAGCCATTCCGGTTCAGAAATATCAATGTTAGCAAAAGCTTGATAGTCACTCAAACCATCTGAACTCGCACCTTGTTCATTTTGCAAACTTTCACTTGAAGATTGAGCATTGTAAGGTTTCTTTGGAGATGGGCCGTAGTTCGTATTTGAATCATAATGTGCTCTCTTTCTATCTGCCATTTTTAATGGTCTGATTCAGTTTATCTAGTTCTGACCGCCTTTCCAATGCACGATCTAGACTCAAGTAAGGATTTTATGATGAAAAATATATTCGTTCTCAGGTGAGCGTACCACTATTTCATGTTAAATTTACTTGTGTCACAAATCTAGAATTGTCGCATTGCTTATCATTTCCATTTTTATGTTTTAATTAACTTTATATGAACGTTCTAGGTGCGAAAATTTAAAATATTTTATACAATATCTAATCATATATTCATTATATACATCTAAATAAAATATTGATTTACAGTATTTTATTTTATTTTATTTTGTAATTAAACAAGTATTTATTGTTTTTATTTTAATTTTGAAATAAAAAATAAAATTGTATAAAAATATTTATATTTAAAATATTTTTAATATTTAAATATTTGTTTTTATATTCAATCTTTAAATAAAATTTTAAAAACTAATAAAATTATTTTCTTGTTTTATTTTTTATATATTTATATTATATATTTAAAACTTTTAACAATACTATTTTAATATTACTTTAATATCAATTTAATATTTAAATTATTATAATTTCATATAAGTAGATCTCAATTATAGTTCTAAAAATTGGAATTAAACAAATTTATATAGACTTATATGTGATTCATAATACTATTAAAAATGATAATAGATTATAATTAAAAAAAAAACTCTCTTCTGATAATATCTGTTTTATTAAAAATTTTTCTTTTATGGTAATTTTAAGCAATAAAAAATATTTTACACTCTTTATCACAAGTAAATTTCAGCTCAAAAACTCAAGAACCTTCAAGACAACTAGTGCAGTGGGATGAAACCTCTGGTCAAAGTCTATTCAAGTTTGGGAGTCTTGCTTATCCTTCGGTTGTATGAGGAAAGGCCTAATAACAGTTCTCTTTTCTTCAATTCTCTTGCATCCCTCCTTATCCTTATTATATTATAAAAACCATTTACATTATTACCATCATACTTGCTAAAAAATATACTTTCCAAAATATATACTCAAATAGAGTTAGTGGGTCTACTGTTTGTTTCAAGTCAACTCTTATATATAATATTCTCACAATAATATTTGTTATATCATCTCAAAAATACAAAAATTTTTTAAATAAAAAACTAAAATCAGTTTACCTCCTCCAGATAATTAGCACTCTCCAGTCATCCAATCAGATTTTGCAAAAAAATCAAAACAAAAACCATGTTAGCTCAAAACAGTTTCATGCAACAACAATAACTTTAACAACAAACAACATCATATGCACTCTACTATCTATAGTAACCGAAGAGCTAGAGAGATGAGATAATAAACCTGTCTAGGGATTTTCTTGGGGAAATAATTGTTTTTTTACTTATAGATTTTATAGTTTATTTGATGTAGTTTTAGGTACAGTTAAAGATGAGTCCCTAAATTAAAGGTAAGGACATAATTTAAATATCCCTTATTATTAAAAAAGTTTTTTTTTAAATATAAAATCAAAAAAAAAACCACCTACAAAGGTTTTTTACAATTTAGGTTACTTGATCCAAGTGTTTTTTGAATTATGTTCCTATTAAAATAATGAATAAATAATTATATCCCTTTAAAAGGGACATAATTAATTTGCGAAATTTTATATGCTAAATAGTTTAGGGACCTATCCTTAGCTACAGTTATATTTTTTTTCCTTTCTACTATTATATATTCAAAAAATCAAAAGAATTTACAAAATTTCCTGAGTTGATAAACATAATCACTACTCAACTTTATCTAACACTATAATATTACTTTTGAATTATTTTACAATATTAGTTAGATATTAACTAAGTAAGCAAGCTAGCATTTAACTTTCCTGAAATAATGAAAAAAATATTGTTTCTTTCACAATGTATACTATATTATATACAAATATTAATTAAAGAAATGATGTTTATCTATGGGGAAACCCTCCCAAAAAAAAATGATAATGGATTATAATCCATATATTAAATTTAATATAAATCTAAAAATTATTAATTATTAGGATTTTTAGTTACAATCCATATATTAAATTTATTATAAATTAATACTATTTTAATATTAGTTTAATATTTTTTGAAATCTTATATATATCTAATTTTTTTTATAAATTTTAGTTTTATTTTATATTATTTTATAAAATTATTTATAAAATTATTATTATTTGTGAATTGACTTGAAATATTATAATTATAATATTATTTATTTGTTTTTTTTTTAATTTTATCAATTTAATTTTTTTATTTCTTGCTATAATAATATTGTATTTTTTGAATTTTATTTTATTTTCCTTAAATATTTTTTTATATTTTAGATTTTATAATAATTAATAAATTTTTTATATTATAAATTGGTATTTGTTAAAAATATTTTAAACTATAGTTTTTAAAATTAATTTTCTGATATAATTTTATTTATAATTATTTAAATATTATATAAATTTATAAAATATTTTTGGAAACTTATAACTTAAAGTTATTTAAAAATATTTTTTATATTTTTTATCATTTTTATATTTAAATTTTATATTTAATATAAATTAAAAAAAATTTTTTTTTTTTACAAACAGATATTAAATATAAAACTTTATTAAACAAATAATTTATTTGAGCCATTATATTAAAAATCTTTCTATCAACTATATAGATTAATTCTAATCTATTGCAATAGTTAAGGTGGCATATACTAACTTTAAAAACTTTCATAAAAAAAAAAGATAGGTAAAAACTAGCTATTAGTTATATTATAATCAATATATATGCTTATTATATATTTGATTATAGATGTGAAATGACATAATTAGAAGAATTACATAGGAAAAAAAACTCTTTTCCACTCCCCCTTTCTACGCTTGAAATTTTCCTTTTTAGGAAATTTTTAAGTTGTTTACTTTTTTCATCTTCCCTTTTCCCTTTTCTTTACCTTCCCTTTCTCCATACCTCTTTATTTCTCTTCTCCTATCTTCTCCCCTCTCTTCTATATACTTTTTCTTTTTACTTTACCCCACCCTTTCGTTTTTCCCTTTTTTTTTTTCCTGCCGAAGCTAGATTTTTTCCTTTTCCCTGAAGGTTTTCCTCCCTAGGCTTCTCTCTCTTTTGAAAACTCTGTCTCCATAACATTACTCCTCTGGCCAGTTGACTCTCTTTTCTCAAGGACCATATTAAAAAATGGTAACCTTTCTTAGGATGTGGGCTTTAGAAATTTTCTCTCTTCCATGGCTCCTCAAAAAAAAGACAGATGGCTTACTTCCTCCAAAAGATCGATATGGTCATCATTACCAAACCCGACATTATTTACCAATCGGTGATTAGACTAGATACACCCAAAAAATCTTTGTACAACTATTATTATCTGAAAGTACCCAAGGAGTTGTGCTCCACAGTATCCAGAGTAAAATGACAGCCAATGTCAATGTGACTAGCAATAAGCTAGATTAGTTGCAGGTGTCATACTGGTAATTGGAGAACTTAATAGGGTAATACGTGACGACCAGGGATTCTAGTTACCCTCGCAACACAAGTTGGTGATGACAACAGAAGTTTCTTACTCACCTCTCCGACAATATAGATCTATTGTACAAGGTTAAGTTCTGGCGCCATTAAGAAAACCAATAAGAACTCCACCCATAGGACACTTTCATCACACTTGAAGCATGGGTGTGTCAAATCCTTTTTGTGACTTGGTGGCAAACCTGTATAAAGTGGCTACAGCACCTTCATACAAAAAGGTACCCATCTCCTATCACCTCCAACACTACTCTGCTTGTTATATATCAAGCCATATTTGGAAAGCAGGCATACCAATCCTAATCATGACTTGGAGGCCAACCTGTATAGATTGGCTGCAATATCTTTATGTAATTAGGTATATATTTAATTCCAGATAGCTAAACACCATTTATAATTAGATATAAATTTTTGAATTTCTTTTTGTCTATATTTCTTGGATGATGCTAAAAGAGCACAGGGGTTTGGTCCTATATGGGAGCCTTGCGTTAAACTCTTCCTAGCAAAGAAAAATGTATGTCGTGCTATTGATTATTGTACCTTACCCTGTATGTAAGTGAAAGTATAATAAATATAATAAAGCGTGATAGCCATTTGCTCTTTTCAAAAAAAAATAAAAATAAAAATAATTAGAAGAATTAGTTTTTATAATTGCTAAGCCTATAAATTATAAATTAAAAATTTTTATTTAATTAAATTTAAAAATTTATATACTATATATAAAAATATAATATTTTTAAAATTATTTTTGTTTGAAAGACTAATTTTGCATTAGGATGATTTTAGTAGTAAAAACAGTTACTGCTCTTTGGCCTTTAGTCCTAATGATAGATTCAAATAAAGGATTAATACTAAATATAAATAATGAAAGACTGGTTTTACTTTGGTGTAGTTTGAATTTAATATAATATGAAATCAACACTTATTTTACTTGTTATACATCAAGTCATATTTGAAAAGTAAGTATATTAATTCTAATCATGACTTGAAGACAAACCTGTATATGGTGATCACAATACCTTTATATAATTAGATAATCATTTTTCTCTAAATAACTAAATGCTATTCGAAACATAATATAGATTTTAAAATTCTTTTTTCTATATTCTTGAGTTGTGTCAAAGAGCATAGAGGATAGATTGTATCTGTGAAGCCTTGCATTTAACTCTTTCTAGCAAAGAGAAATATATATTATACTGTAAAAGTGTTATAAATTTTGTCCTTGCAAGTCTAAAATTATAATAATAAAATATAATATAATAGTCTTTTGCTTCTTCAAAAAAAAATAATAATAATAAATTATTTTTGTTTATTATTATTATTATTAAATGCTAACATAGATTTTGCTTAGCAAACTTTATTAAGATCAATATTTACACATATTCATACATATTACTATATAGAATTATGTTATAACATTAATTGTTTTTATGTATACTAAACTATATAAAGATTTTTCTACATATTAGTTGTTACTAGGACTC